ATATATATATATATATGATTATATATATATATATGATTTATTTATATATATATATATATATAAGTAAACATTACGTAAAAATCTTGCCTAAATTTGAGTTAAATGATGTTAAATAAGCAAGTTATTCCCCAAACCTAACAGGAATATCAGAAAGAATTCCCAGACATTCCCATCGGTTACTCGGGTCATGAAAGTGGGATCAACATCACAGTCGGGGCAGTTGCTCTGGGAGCCAAAGTTGTGGAGCGGCACGTGACCCTGGATAAGAGCTGGAAAGGCAGTGATCATGCAGCGTCTCTGGAACCAGAAGAGCTGGCTGAGCTGGTGAGGTCCATCCGCATTGTGGAGAGAGCTTTGGGCACTGGACTGAAACGCATGCTGCCATGTGAGGTGCCATGCCATGATAAGGTACAGGTATTTTTCAAGGTATTTTTTTTTCTCATAAATGCAAAAAATGTCAAATAAAAAAATAAATTGCATTATTTCTATTGGGTTGTGCAGTTTAATATACAGAATTTCTACACAGAAGGTCACTTCCATAACAAATGTTTTTTTTTTTTTTTCTTCCACCTTTAGAATACATATTTTTTCCAGATTAATATTTTTCTGCTCCCTAACTCCCTTAGAATATAAACAGATGTTTCAATCTAATGTTAAAACATACCATCTCCCTGAATCTTATGTTCTGAATTTTTACTGCAAATGTCAAATGCATAATGCTGGAGTTGCTCAAATGTAACTTGAAAATTGAAGTTGAAGGAAGTTGGAAATTTATTTATTTTTTCCTCAGAATTGGAAGTACATATTTTCAATTGCAGCCTTTATCCATTCAAATTCAAACAGAAATGTAGCAAAAACTCTAGTAAGACAAGAATTGCGAGAAAGAGATTGCGAGAAAAATTCAGTCTCAATGTTTTTTTTTTTACTTTGTATTTTGTGACATTTCTTTGTAAGTTTCTAATTTAATATCTCAATTAATAATAAAAACACTATGCTAAAGACATAAATGAGTTAAAGGTGCAGTAGGTGATCTGCCAAAATGCTAACCGCTTAGCATATTGTCTTTGAACAACAGGGAGGGACCGACTCAAAGCCACGCCTCTTGAAATCGCGGATGCGCGCACCGCGTCACAACAGCAGACAACCCACTAGTTCTTGTCATTTGCCAGTTAGTTAGTGTTTGACTGGCGGCGTGCAGGAATTACATTTATTACTAAGCCATACTTGCATGCTATTTCAGAGCGAATATTCAGAGTAGCGGTAAACAGTATAGGAGGGCTGTCTTTGTTCAAAAATGAACCAATGTTAATAAAAAGCAACTTCAGCTCAAGAAAAGCAGGTTATGCGGAATAGCGCTGTTTACTGATGTTTTGTTAAACTGAATAAAAATTGACATTTATAGATGCTGTAAAAGGCCCTTCTAAAACGGAAAATAGTCACATCAGTCTTTCGCTGGGAGATTTCAGTGGCTGAACAACACTTCTATGCATGTGAGCAATTCATAACACAACACAATCTAACATAAGCTTAGCCTAAAAATAGGATCTGCGTGAACAGATGAGCAGAAGTCCGAATCTGCATTTGCTGACAGACAGTTTGAGCTACTTATTGGAATTATGAAAGATGTCGGCCCGACAATATTTAATTGGATAAACATTTTTTTTAGTTTTAAGCCTTACCCAGAATATAACGTGTCTTTAAGGACAATCACCTTTAATTTGCTAAATTTGTCTCTCTTTTTTTTTTTGTATATAGTTGTTTATTAGCATTTGCCTTTACATCCTCCTCCTGCATATTTTACAGCTCTGTTCTCTTTCTGTCTTGCGTTGCATTCCTTTTCCTATTTCCCTCCAAAACATCCTGTCATCCTGTCTTCACTTTCTTCTTTTTCCCATCAAATTCACCCATTCGTGACTCGTATCATACCCCATAACATTCCTTCCTCTGACATGTTTTTTTTTCTTCTTTTTCCATGTGTGTGTCTGGCATTTGTTGTATAGCACACTCACCATGTCTTTAAGATATCTGCTCCGTCTCTGACATTCCTATAATTCTTCTTCTCCATCTTTTGTTCCTCTTTAGCTCGGAAAGTCGGTGGTGGCAAAGACCTCCATTCCAAAAGGTACAGAACTCACCCTTGACATGCTGACAGTGAAAGTAGCTGAACCCAAGGGTGTAGCTCCAGAAGAAATCTTCCAGCTGGTGGGGAAGAAAGTGACCACAGATGTGGAGGAGGACGAGAGCATTACTGAAGATGTAGTCGACAGCTATGGCAAAAAAGCTAAAGCTTGAGGAAAGCATGTGATCCTTGATCAAACTGCAAAAAAAGGTTACATGTTTCAGTGCCCTGATTAAAATCAAGTTTTGTTTTTGAGGCAAAGACAAATTCTACAATACAACAAATACTGTGTATGAAGCCAGACTTGTTTATATAATGCATTATTTGCCAAATACTGTTGAATAAATAATGGATTATAAGACAATGGAAATCTGTCTCGTTTTGAAGATAAATACATAGGATGCTGTATTTAAAAAAAAAAGTGTATATACAGTGCTCAGCATAAATGAGTACACCACTCACTAATCTCTCTTTTAAATTAATATATTCTTTTGGAAAATATTTGAACACAATATATATATTTTATTTTGAAAAACATTTAAAATACTTTAGTGCAGTAAACACTAATTATTTAGTCAGGCTAAATATTTTAAATAAATCATTGCCTTCTGCTGTCTTCAATAGTTTAAAAAATACCATACAGATTTCTTTAATTTAAAACAGCATTTTTGGAGATCTTTTATACTGGAGATACTGTTGTCCTAAAACAATAGCAACAACAAAGTAAATTAAAGCTGCAAGCAGCGATGATAGGGACCTCGCACCCGGGCTCACCGCCGCCCGGTGGCATCAGGATGACAGAGAACAGCGAACAGTAATAATTTAAGCCGATATATTAAAAATATCTGAGAAAATCACAGATTTATGCCAAACTTCCTCCTGTCAGCAGGTGGCGCTATAACACTGACTCATGACTGGCATGTAGATGTCTTCAGGAGAGGAAACTTATCAACCATGTGAAGTTTTAGGCAGATCGGACATTGTTTGGCTGAGTTATAAGCCAAACTGCCTTTTTTCAGCAGGTGGCGCTATGACAGACTCAATGTTGTTATGTAGATGTGTTTAGGAGGGGACTTTCATCAACCTTGTGAAGTTTCAGGCAGATCGGACTTTGTGTGGTTGAGTTATACTGCAAACTACCATCTGCCAGCAGGTGGCGCTATAACTGTGACTTAAGATTGGCATGTAGATGCCTTCAGTAATGGAATTTAATCAACTATGTGAAGTTTCAGGCAGATCGGAGTTTGTGTGGTTGAGTTATAAGCCAATCTACCTTCTGCCAGCAGGTGGCGCTATGACTGATTCAATATTGTTATGTGGATGTGTTCAGAAGAGGACTTTTATCAATCATGTGAAGTTTCAGGCAGATCAGACATTGTGTGGTAGAGTTATAAGGACTTCCTGTTCCATGGCGAAGCGTTGAGGTTTGTCATGCCACCACGGACACGCCCCTCTGCAAAAACTCTAGATCTTCACAATATATCATCGCTAGAGCTTTCAGATGACACCACTCTATTTTGGTGCTGATACGGGAAAGTTTGTGGAAGGAGTTTGTTACAGTGTCAAACATGTCATTTCCTGTAGCCAGCAGGTGGGGCTATAACTGTAACTGGATATCGGCACGTAAACCTGTTCAGGTCAGGACTTTTATCAAACGTGTGAATTTTGAGGCAGATCTGATAATGCATGCCTGAGTTATAACGACTTCCTGTCTTGTGGCGGATCATCAACGTTTGCGAGGCCGCCACGGACACGCCCATCGACAAAAACTCTAAAGCTTCGCAATTTAACATCACCAAGGCCTTTAGATGACAAAACACAATTTTTATTGTCAATCAGATAAAATCCCTAGGAGGAGTTCGTTAAAATATAACGCCTAGAAATGGCAAAAGAGCCACTTTTTCGCCACAGGAAGTTAAAAATATACGACTTCCTGTTGAGTTTGAGATATGGCTCCAAGAGACTTTTTCGTATGTTTTGCCATGTTTGAGGTGTGTGCCAATTTTCGTGCATGTGCGTGATTTGTAGATCGGGGGCTCGTCCGTTTAATTTTTATAGGTGGCGCTGTTGAGTCGTTTTGCCACGCCCACTTCAATATTGTTATGTGGATGTGTTCAAGAGATGACGTTTATCAACCATGTGAAGCTTCAGGCTGATTGGACATTTTGTGGTTGAGTTACAAGGACTTCCTGTTCCATGGCGAAGCGTTGAGGTTTGTCATGCCGCCACGGACACGCCCCTCTGCGAAAACTCTAGATCTTCACAATATATCATCACCAGAGCTTTCAGATAACACCACCCAATTTTGGTGCTGATACGATAAAATTTGTGGATGGAGTTTGTTACTCCGTAAATCATGTCATTTCCTGTGGCCAGCAGGTGGCGCCATAACTGTCTCTGGATATTGGCATGTAAACGTGTTCAGGTCAGGACGCTTATCAAGCGTGTGAATTTTGAGGCAGATCGGATAATGCATGCCTGAGTTATAACGGCTTCCTGTTTCGTGGCGAATCGTCAAAGTTTGCGAGGCCGCCACGGACACGCCCATCGACGAAAACTCTAAAGCTTCGCAATTTAACATCATCAAGGCCTTTAGATGACAAAACCCAAATTTGGTGTCGATCGGATAAAATTCCTAGGAGGAGTTCGTTAAAATATAACGCCTGGAAATGGCAAAAACGCCACTTTTTCGCCGCAGGAAGTTAAAAATATCCGACTTCCTGTTGGGTTTGAGATATGGCTCCAAGAGACTTTTTCGTATGTTTTGGTGTGTTTGAGGTGTGTGCCAATTTTCGTGCGTGTGTGTGATTCATGGATCGGGGGCTCGTCCGTTTAATTTTTCTAGGTGGCGCTGTCGAGTCATTTTGCCACGCCCACTTCCGAAGCCCATAACAAACGTAAATTTTCGCCACTTCTGAGGCGTGTGCAAAGTTTCGTGAGTTTTCGGGCATGTTTAGCCCCTCTAAATCGCGATTCATTCCGCGGAAGAAGAAGAAGAAGAAGAAGAAGAAGAAGAAGAAGAATAATAAACAGAGCAATTCCAATAGGGCCTACGCACCGTTTCGGTGCTCGGTCCCTAATAAACAAATCGTACACACAACGGTATGGCAGAAAATTTTGGTGGTTTGAAAGCCTTGATTTTTCCAAATCGCAGTAAACCTTGAAATTAGTTATCGTCCCATGCAACCCCAACATATTTTCTGTTTTACATTTTTAATTTCTATAGCTTCCAAAGAGAATGCAAAAAGAGCCACATATTGATTTATAATGGTATGATAGCTGTTTTAACATTAAGTTAAGAATGAATTGCCTCTTGTTACAGTTATGAAATAGTTTGATAGCAAGCAGGAAATCTTCATGGGCCAATGACATGACCACACTGAAATGGTCTACAAACAAGAATTAACATATAAAAGGTACTCCAGAGATTTGTGTGTGTATCTGAATGTTTGTCTTTTTATCTATACAACAAAGCAGGCGTTTTCCTTTTACCCTGAAATGATAATTCTCACTGTCAGGTGACCTTGAAAAGATCCAGCATAAGTGTGTCTAAGATATTCTGTCAGTTTGTCATGATAAAGCCTATTTATATTCGTTAGATTGATACGTATGCAATTTCATTTTGCTGCAACGCCCTATCAGGGCACGCTGCTGGTCACGGGACTCGCGCAGCCACGGTTTAGTCATTTCATTGGCGGACGACTAAACTATTCGTCGTTTGTATGGACGACAAAAATGCCCGTCAAAAATAGACAACCCTGATTGGTTGAGCGGCCGTTTCCTTCGCGTCCGTTTTATCTTAAGTCCCTCCCCACTGACATTGGAGCCGTCGACGAGGAAGACAGTAGGGTGATTAGTGTTTTCGGTTGTTCTCCCTCTGAGCACATTCAGCAAGCCATGGACGATTTCGATATGCTCAGTGCCCCTCAAGGAAGCGCAGGGAACGGTGTCGGGGCAGACGAGGACCCGGCGGCGGCATTTCTGGCCCAGCAAGAGAGCGAGATCGCTGGCATCGAGAATGACGAGGGCTTCAGCATCCTGGACAGCGGAGATGTGCCTTCGTCCCTGAGCCAAGACCAGGACGGTGGGTTTACACGACATATTATTTGCACCACATCGATGATAAAGATTAAAAGCGTGCTTTATAGTCTTAAATGCGAACGTTTAGAAAAAACACCAAAACAAAGAACTCCTTTATTCGCTCATTAGCCAGCTAGCCTTCATCTATGAAGTGTCGCGCGTGCAGATAACACTGCCAAAACACCGTCAAAATAGCCGCTTAAATGTATTAATGCTTCACACTGGACTGGTTGTTAAAGTAAGCAGGAAAATGGCGTTATCTGTTGTTAAGTCAGTCAGTTATCTATAAGTATTCCAGTGGTAGACCTCTTATTAAACGGTTTAATCGTAATTTTATTAGGTTTTAAAACAGATGAATGTTCCATTGAAACCCATTTGCCGCTCTATGTTTTGATTGATTATTCCAGTATATGGTGGTATCAGCGAAATTCGACTTCCTTAAACGCTGATGCTTTTTTTATTATATAATGACCTTTGGACTGGAGGCTGTATTTGTGTGTTCAAGTTCATTACGCTAACGTTAGACCAGACATCCTTTAGATTATTGAGGTAAATTTCGGTTTTATTTTTGCACATTGGGACTTTCTCTTTGATATAATTTCAGAAAAGTATTGTATGCTAATTCTAAATATGCATATTTCATTCATTTTCTTTTCGGCTTAGTCCCTTTATTAATCTGGAGTCGCCACAGTGGAATGAACCACCAACTTATTCAGCATCTGTTTTTTTTACACAGAGGATGCCCTTCCAGCTGCAACTCATCACTGGGAAACATAATTCTAAATAGCGAAATTATATTAGGAGCCAATGACTCAGTTGTTCTGTCAAATAAGTAGTGTTAATGTTGTTTTGATGTCATACTTGCAAGTGATTTCAAGCAGAATATTCAAAGTATCATGGTAAACAATATTGAGGTAAAGTTGGTTTCATATTCGCACATTCGTTCAGTGACAACTCCCTAAATTGTCACATGTAAGTATGACTTCAAAACAGCATTAGCTCTACTTATTTGACTGTGAACAATGTTGTACTTTGAAAGTTATTGGATGCCAATATGATTTCACTATTAGGCTTTTGCAAATAATTATTTTCTAAAACTGTTATTAAGGTGAAAGTCCGAATGTGTGTGTATAAAACCCAATTTACCCTATTGTAAACAATATAGGGAGCATGTCACAAGCTGTCACTGAATGAATGTTAAAATATAAAACCAGCTTTACCTAAATTTTTGGATTTATATGACAAGCAAAGCGTGTTCATGTTTGCTCCTTAACTTTATTCAAAGG